TGGCAGACGTTATCTAGGTGAGGGGTGTCTCATTGGTGTCCTGGCAGACGTTATCGGAGTGAGAGGTGTCTCATTGGTGTCCTGGCAGACGTTATCTAAGTGAGAGGTGTCTCATTGGTGTCCTGGCAGACGTTATCGGAGTGAGAGGTGTCTCATTGGTGTCCTGGCAGACGTTATCGGAGTGAGAGGTGTCTCATTGGTGTCCTGGCAGACGTTATCGGAGTGAGAGGTGTCTCACTGGTGTCCTGGCAGACGTTATCTAAGTGAGGGGGTGTCTCATTGGTGTCCTGGCAGACGTTATCTAAGTGAGGGGGGTCTCATTGGTGTCCTGGCAGACGTTATCTAAGTGAGGGGTGTCTCATTGGTGTCCTGGCCAACGTTATCGGAGTGAGAGGTGTCTCATTGGTGTCCTGGCAGACGTTATCTAAGTGAGGGATGTCTCACTGGTGTCCTGGCAGACGTTATCGGAGTGTGAGGTATTCCATTGGTGTCCTGGCAGACGTTATCTATGTGAGGGGTGTCTCATTTGTGTCCTGGCAGACGTTATCTAAGTGAAGGGTGTCTCATTGGTGTCCTGGCAGACGTTATCGGAGTGAGAGGTGTCTCATTGGTGTCCTGGCAGACGTTATCGGAAGTGAGAGGTGTCTCATTGGTGTCCTGGCAGACGTTATCGGAGTGAGAGGTGTCTCATTGGTGTCCTGGCAGACGTTATCGGAGTGAGAGGTGTCTCATTGGTGTCCTGGCAGACGTTATCGGAGTGAGAGGTGTCTCATTGGTGTCCTGGCAGACGTTATCGGAGTGAGAGGTGTCTCATTGGTGTCCTGGCAGACGTTATCGGAGTGAGAGGTGTCTCATTGGTGTCCTGGCAGACGTTATCGGATGAGAGGTGTCTCATTGGTGTCCTGGCAGACGTTATCTAAGTGAGGGTGTCTCATTGGTGTCCTGGCAGACGTTATCGGAGTGAGAGGTGTCTCACTGGTGTCCTGGCAGACGTTATCGGAGTGAGAGGTGTCTCATTGGTGTCCTGGCAGACGTTATCTAAGTGAGAGGTGTCTCATTGGTGTCCTGGCAGACGTTATCGGAGTGAGAGGTGTCTCATTGGTGTCCTGGCAGACGTTATCGGAGTGAGAGGTGTCTCATTCGTGTCCTTGCAGATGTTATCTAAGTGAGAGGTGTCTCATTGGTGTCCTGGCAGATGTTATCGGAGTGAGAGGTGTCTCATTGGTGTCCTGGCAGACGTTATCGGAGTGAGAGGTGTCTCATTGGTGTCCTGGCAGACGTTATCGGAGTGAGAGGTGTCTCATTGGTGTCCTGGCAGACGTTATCTAAGTGAGAGGTGTCTCATTGGTGTCCTGGCAGACGTTATCGGAGTGAGAGGTGTCTCATTGGTGTCCTGGCAGACGTTATCGGAGAGAGAGGTGTCTCATTGGTGTCCTGGCAGACGTTATCGGAGTGAGAGGTGTCTCATTGGTGTCCTGGCAGACGTTATCGGAGTGAGAGGTGTCTCATTGGTGTCCTGGCAGACGTTATCTAAGTGAGAGGTGTCTCATTGGTGTCCTGGCAGACGTTATCGGAGTGAGAGGTGTCTCATTGGTGTCCTGGCAGACGTTATCGGAGTGAGAGGTGTCTCATTGGTGTCCTGGCAGACGTTATCGGAGTGAGAGGTGTCTCATTGGTGTCCTGGCAGACGTTATCGGAGTGAGAGGTGTCTCATTGGTGTCCTGGCAGACGTTATCGGAGTGAGAGGTGTCTCACTGGTGTCCTGGCAGACGTTATCGGAGTGAGAGGTGTCTCATTGGTGTCCTGGCAGACGTTATCGGAGTGAGAGGTGTCTCATTGGTGTCCTGGCAGACGTTATCGGAGTGAGAGGTGTCTCATTGGTGTCCTGGCAGACGTTATCGGAGTGAGAGGTGTCTCATTGGTGTCCTGGCAGACGTTATCTAAGTGAGAGGTGTCTCATTGGTGTCCTGGCAGACGTTATCTAAGTGAGAGGTGTCTCATTGGTGTCCTGGCAGACGTTATCGGAGTGAGAGGTGTCTCATTGGTGTCCCGGCAGACGTTATCTAAGTGAGGTGTCTCATTGGTGTCCTGGCAGACGTTATCGGAGTGAGAGGTGTCTCATTGGTGTCCCGGCAGACGTTATCGGAGTGAGAGGTGTCTCATTGGTGTCCTGGCAGACGTTATCGGAGTGAGAGGTGTCTCATTGGTGTCCTGGCAGACGTTATCGGAGTGAGGGGTGTCTCATTGGTGTCCTGGCAGACGTTATCGGAGTGAGAGGTGTCTCATTGGTGTCCTGGCAGACGTTATCGGAGTGAGGGGTGTCTCATTGGTGTCCTGGCAGACGTTATCGGAGTGAGGGGTGTCTCATTGGTGTCCTGGCAGACGTTATCGGAGTGAGGGTGTCTCATTGGTGTCCTGGCAGACGTTATCGGAGTGAGAGGTGTCTCATTGGTGTCCCGGCAGACGTTATCTAAGTGAGAGGTGTCTCATTGGTGTCCCGGCAGACGTTATCGGAGTGAGAGGTGTCTCATTGGTGTCCCGGCAGACGTTATCGGAGTGAGAGGTGTCTCATTGGTGTCCTGGCAGACGTTATCTAAGTGAGAGGTGTCTCATTGGTGTCCTGGCAGATGTTATCGGAGTGAGAGGTGTCTCATTGGTGTCCTGGTAGACGTTATCGGAGTGAGAGGTGTCTCACTGGTGTCCCGGCAGACGTTATCTAAGTGAGAGGTGTCTCATTGGTGTCCTGGTAGACGTTATCGGAGTGAGAGGTGTCTCATTGGTGTCCTGGCAGACGTTATCGGAGTGAGAGGTGTCTCATTGGTGTCCTGGCAGACGTTATCTAAGTGAGAGGTGTCTCATTGGTGTCCTGGCAGACGTTATCGGAGTGAGAGGTGTCTCATTGGTGTCCTGGCAGACGTTATCGGAGTGAGAGGTGTCTCACTGGTGTCCTGGCAGACGTTATCGGAGTGTGAGGTGTCTCACTGGTGTCCTGGCAGACGTTATCGGAGTGAGAGATGTCTCACTGGTGTCCTGGCAGACGTTATCGGAGTGAGAGGTGTCTCATTGGTGTCCTGGCAGACGTTATCGGAGTGAGTGGTGTCTAGTAGTGGTAGCTAGTCGTGGTTCATACAATCACCAGAATCATGTCTTAAGAGCTGTGTGACCTATCGGATTGGCGGCGTATCCATGGTGACCACACTTTACGTCATTGTTGATGTTCACGTTCTGTTGTGTTTACATCTTAGATTGCAAGTAAAATGTTCGAAAAATATCAATTTCAGTTTTGTTTTCGTTTTAAGAAGAGTAAAAAAACGTAACAGTCACCATAATACGAGGAATGGGGTTTTCAAAGCGTTTACAACATGGACTATTTCCGTGCGTGCATCCATCCACCCTTGGGGGAGACGAGGAGATCGCAACGACCTCTCACGGGACAAAGCAGTAGCTGCAAAACTTCAAAGTGATCTAATAGAGCTATCGGTGCATGAATGGTGTTTTCTGATTATCTAGCTACTTCCGTGGACACATGGCTTCCACTCCGCCCCTCGGTACATGTGATTCAAGACGAGAGTAACTCCTCATCAACCTTTCAATAAACAAAGAAGCGTCTTTGTTATTTATGGCTTATTCGAGTGGCTGTGAATCTGAATGACGGGGATGAAACCCTTCCAACAAAGTAGGGCCATGTCTATGTTGGCTGTCATGCGAGACACCAGACTCGATCATCGTTGATCGGAAAAAAGGTCATGGAGAAATACCAATTATAAAACATCCTGAACTTCAAATATCTCCCAAAATTGTAATAAAGCATACTTTTCTGTTATACGGTATTTTATAAATACTATTTCACTTTCATCTTCAACAATAGTAATAAAAGCATCCTGTTCCCCAGTTATTTATAAAAAAAACTAGTTCACTTTAACATTTCTAAAATTAGCCATGACATCCACTAAAATAAATCACTTTTTCAAATGCGATAAATTGTTTTTACGTAATTTGCATATGTAAACAACCGACCCTGGGCGTGGTGTTTCTTCCCAAGAAACCTGTTTATTCACGACTGTCAAGTAACCACCACGCTTGGTGATTTTACGGGACGCTTTAATCACCCCGCGCCGTGTTTGCACCCAATCGAGTTGGTTCCACGGTGATTGAATTAATTAGGGTCAAGCGCTTCAGTTAGTACCGCGGAGCGCACCCGTCTCGCATACACGAAACGATAGGCCGTCTCGCGTACACGTTACGTCTCTGACTGTTCAAGTTAATCATTCCTTTCAGTGTGATGCTGTAAGCAAATGGATCTTATCCATACATGACACATGAACATATTATTAGTTATTTAGTTCTCAAAGGATAATGGATGTAACATGCGGCTACATACAGTATGCTAAGACAGTTGATGTAGAGCTATTGCAGATGAGGGGGTAGTGATCTGTTCATTTTATGATGGTAACTATTTTAGTATATACGCAGGGCGGATACAGGATTTTCGTTTGGGGTGCACCCCAATCCTCGGAACCCTGGGCATAAAACATGTAGTACATTAGGAACACTCTGAGCACCTCACCTCACCCCACCCCACCCCCACCCCCTGGATCCGCGCATGTATACGGGAATAAATACATTCATTTTATAAGTTAGATTCAGATGCGGTTTAGAGACATGTATGTTGTGCTATTGATGACAATATTGATGTACATAGAGACTTTTCTGGGTTTCATTTTCTTTTTATTGTTTGGTACATCGTTTCAGGGCTTGTCCTGGCCCCATCATCAGGTAGAACTAAAGAGCAGTGAGGGAAACACATCGCGGTCTACTAAAACTTTACTCAAAACTATCATCATTGTAACTGATTTCTTTACACTTGCTCAACTGCGCGAGGTCACCAGCGTTACAGATTCGCCGAACGATCAGCGCGACATGAGTAGGTAAAACCATGTTTCTGACCTTCTGAGTATTCGCACAAACACAAAGCAGACTGTAAGGGGAGGTAACGACGTGGGAGAAATTGCTACCCGCTTTCAAAATGGCGTCTGAAATGTTCACACATTTTCTGATATAAATAACTCGGTACAGCCAACTGTTTGTTGAGATTACACAGAGAAACATATTTTTCAAGTAAGTAATTAATACTTTACATTTGTAAAACAACTTAGAATGGCTTTGAAAATTACGGTAGATTGAGAACTGATCTGCTCGGGGCTCGGCCTCCATTGCTCGGCGTGTTGGTTTTGAAATATTTCCTTCCCATGGTCAGATACTCTTTCAGCGTTTAGATAACCCCTGGCGTAGTTCAGGTGAATTAATAAGAACAAACACTGTGACTAATTTATATTTCTCGTGTCAGTTAACTTGTCTAAACGAAAGCCATGTCTTCATGTCAGACGACATTGAAAAACAATAAGGGACACAACTCAACATTTGAATGCTCACAAGAACCTGCATACCAGTAAATTAGCAGGACGCTATGTTTAGAAGAACTTCGTATTTCAATGCAAATGTCATGTAAAAAATATTCTTTCATGCAATATATTTTATTCTCTGACTACATTAGTTTAACATACACAAGATTTTGTTTGATAAACAAGGTAGGGACAGGCAAGCATTTTTTTTTAAATGTTAAAGAATATTTTTCTTTGCATAGTTTGAAGGTTTGAAACCTGCAGTCTTGAAAAAAATCCACCATAATGATTTGGCACATACTAGTCCCCAAAATGCATGTGTTAACATCCTTGTTTTGACACACCATTTGCGCATGCATTCTCGTCTGTTTCAAAAAGTAACCTCCCTCAATACGTCAATTGTTTCTACAGACAACTACTTTTCCATGAACAAATTTAATCACAATTATAACAACACATTAATGAACACATATTCAAAATTACAATGCTGAAAACTGTCCCCTGAATTTTTAAAGATGACAGGAAACAGACCACAGTCAGCTCATGAAGGCGATTCTGAAACGGAATGAATCCATACAATGGCAGGATGAAACAGTTTCACCAGTTTTTATGCTTTCTACATCTCTGATGTAAAGAAGGTGAATTTCCATTTAATAATTTTATTGGACCAATGTTATTAAAGTTTTTAAACAAAGCCTTATACCTTAGTTTAACTCTCTCATGCAATATCCTCACAGCAACAGATATTGTCAGCAAGGTTAACTGCAAAACAGGAAATAACATATTGAGTTCATTATTTACAAGCAAGGAAATATTTCGTTAATTTACCTCGTTGAAGTAAATGTTGGTAAGGAAAAGAATAGGACCACTGTTTTTCGAACATGGATTACAGATACTTTATCATCATCGTACATTGGTTATAAATGACCCAGAGACATTGTTCTATCAGATTAACTGTATGATTTTCATGATCAAGGAGGAATAAAGCTTCAAAAATACTTAGCAATTTTAGCAGACTGTATTTCCACTTCCACAATGTCGTTCCAAAGAGCAGGAAATTCACGATCACGTGGTCTGTTAATCATAGTTTTGATAAATGTTAACATTTGGATGCTACTATTGTGTTTTTAGAGGGTTTAGAAGCGTAGAAGGTGATGCCTATTTTGTGGTCATCTTTGAGAGTCGCTGCGAAGTCGAGGTAGAGTTACGTCCCTTTGCCTGCCAGTCGCTAACCAAGGTGTGCAGAAATATGTACTACATTTTGGATTATAACACTATTTTAATGTAACGTGTGACAGATCTATATCAAATATGTATATATGTGTAGCTTTTCAATTAAGATTAGGTACACTATTAGGTAGATTATATCAAGTAGTAAAGTGTATCACATAATGTCTCCATTTAGTTTAATGTATTTAACAATAAGAACACCTGTTAAAATATATAACTTAATGGTAGAATCTTAGAACTGTTTGTTTTATACCTTATTTTATTCCTATTCCATAGCTCTGCACAGTACTTACAACACAGTCATTATCCCAGCTGTCAGTCATTTTCATTGTTCCCGATAGGCCAATCTGGCCACAGCTCAACTTCAATGTAAAACTATAAACTGACTTGCTGTCTATTACTTCTGAAGGATGGGACCCGTGAAGATCCGGGGTAGAATAGGTCTTCAGCAACCCATGTGCTTGCCGTAAAAAGGCGACTATCTTGTCGTAAGAGGCGACTAACGGGATCGGGTGGTCAGTTTCGCTGACTTGGTTGACACATGTCATCGGTTCCCAATTGCGCAGATCGATGCTCATGCTGTTGATCACTGGATTGTCTGGTCCAGACTCGATTATTTACAGACCGCTGCCATATAGCTGGAATATTGCTGAGTGCGGCGTAAAACTAAACTCACTCACTCACTCACTCTGATGGATGGAGACAAATATCTATAACCATGGGCATTTTATGATGTTTTGATATGTGTGATTGTGCCGACGAGCCCCCACAACCTATCAGCTTGGGTATAACCAACCTCGATAACCTCCAGGGTATACGTTACAATCACTCTCCACTATACCCTGGATGCATCCAAGGCTTGGCCCGATGATTTTATAACCTCCCTTGGCTGGCTTTTTATCCAATCAGGTGTCTACGCTGGGAAGTTGAGCGAACCAATCACAACTCACTTTCGCTTCTTAAATTATCTAACCGTTTAAACTTGGCAACACAATTGATGCAGAGGTAATCTGAAAGAGGTAGAAGGTGTTCTTTTATATATTTTTTGAAAGTTTCATATCTGTCAAATTGTCTGTATTATTTCCTCAAAAATCTGAGTGGCACTGCGAACAAACCTTCGCGACTGCAACTGCGACCGCTATCTTTGCTGACACTGGCAAGCTCGGATTAACGGCTGCTTAGCTGATTGGCTACTGTGAGAATGCAGAGCCAGCAAAGGGAGGTAATATAATTATCGGGCCAAGCCGTAGATGCATCCAGGGTATAGTGGAGAGTGATCGTTACGCATACCCTGGAGATTTTCGAGGATGAGCTATAACCAAACTTGATGTTTCACACAGACATGAAAACAGTTGATGACGATATGTTTGACGCAACCTTCTACTAGGATTTGTTAGAATCAGTGAAGCAGTGTAACAGTGTAACGAATAATACTGAGCCTAAGTTTACTTAGACTGACATGAAACAAACATTAGGCCTGACAACCCACGTTCTTTTTAATTCTGTTGAAGTACACTAGTGCTGTTATGCATATAAACCATGGTTTAAAAGTCTTATTTATTTTTTTATATCACAAGTGAATCCATATCACAAATTGGGTAAAAATGCCTTACACCGGACACCAGTGTTCACGAATGTTGTTTCAAAGTAACAGGACATTGGGTCCTGTAAGTTTCAGATGTCTGTCTGACCCATTGAAAATTCACAGGACCCATAGAATAAAATTAAACACACATTTCAGATTTAACATTTCTTATAATTGGCATTGGAATTATTAACAAACATAATATTTATAAACAGCAAACAAGTGTTACAATAACAACTTTAGTCAAAGTCATTGTGAAATATTCAGTCACACACTGGGTCCGGCGGGTTGTAGACTTCTGTCTGACCATTGGCAAATCTGCCGGATTTGTCAGAGGGTCAGACTCTATTCGTGAACACTGGGACACCTTCCGCCACATTCCATTGTGTGTCGATATATTCAGTGATATCCTTACTTATAGGTTTAGGGTTTGGGGCTAGGCTTTTAAATGAACGTATCATGTGACCTAATCCAATATGGAAGGCAGTAGAGCTGTGTATCGTTGCCTAAGTGGCGAGACGATATATCCCGATACTAATTTAATGAGGCGAGACGATATATCATGAAAGTATTGGCAAGGAACCTGCGAGACGATTATCATCACGATACAGTGATGGCGATACGATACTTATCCCGATACTTTACAATCCTAAAAACAGGACGTATATGATAGATAAAATGACCGAATCTTTATTTGTCATTCAGCAGAGCATGTGTTACATTCACACACACTTAAAAGGCTGTTCGTGTAATAAAGTTTCAGCATTTAATGCTTAAGAAAGTACAATCAAACATATTCAGTATACCTTGCTCTAGGTTTCCCTTGGAAAGTTGTGTTTCTGCACCAATGCTTGCACAGGCAATGTATGCAGTAATTTATACCAGAATCACTGCAAAAAAACTCATAAGTATGCTTTCTAAATTTTGTCTTCTCTTTCTTAACAAAGCTAAGACATCGTTCATTGTTGTTAATAAATGGTGTTATTTGTCAAACAACTAAAACATGTTTCATTTACTTAAAGACAAGTCTTTACAGTTCACAGAGATTGTTCACATGCTTTCACTGATACACTAACTCCTTTGTTCATGTAACAAAGATGGCAGACACAAACGAATTCCTTTTAGGTTCAGTTTGTTTTTAAAATTCAGAAAAATTTCAAAGAGACTCCCTTCCTATTACTTATGCAATACTCCCTACAACTTTAAGTAATATTTAAGTAGTATCGGGATATATCGTCTCTTGTGGCGATACATCGATGTATCATGGACCCTCGCGATATAAATATCCTGATATATTGCCTAAACGTGTTTTGTATCGATGCACTCGTATCGCGTAGTTGACGATGCAAACATCGATACTATCGATGAATCGTTACACCACTAGAAGGCAGATGTCCAGTGTACTGCTTGTGTAACCTGTGTCATCCCTAATGTTAAAAGTTAAATGATACTGAATACCACCTATTGAATAAATGGCATTCCTTCAAGAGTCAGAGGGTGCTCATCTCCAGGAATTTCTAAATGTTTTAAGTATTCAGCATTATGCTCAGTTACAATTTCTGGTCACAGATGTGGATAAATCATAATTCCAAATAGATTTAGGTGTTTTTTTAATTGTCAAAATATTGAGATGTTGAGAAGCAAAACAAAAGAATCACTTCCACAGGGATTGGGAAAGGCATAATGTTTTAATTTTTGTTGTTGAAATGTTTGAAGTTTACTATTGATTCAAGGGCAGTGGCCTATTCAAAATTCAGAAAATGGCTAATAATCTTGAAATGGCCCATTGTAAAAGTTCTCTATCCCAATCCCTCACTTCAATCATCTGGTACATTCCACTCTGTTTGGTATAGGGTGTACAGTTAACCCTTGGAATGTTAGATTCCCACCGGAGGCTGTCTCACCTGTGGGGATACACAGGTAATAGATATATTGAGGATCATAGCTAAGTACATTTCTTACAGCTGGCTACCCGTGCAATCTCAGTACTAACTTGCTGAACACAGGATGATCTTCATCCAGGCTCGCTAATCAGCACAAACATTGCAATTACGCAACTGTGCACAAAATCGAAGTATATGATGATAACAACCTCCAACAATTTGCAGATAACTACAAAGCTGGTAAGAATGTGCAGGTAGAATCTTGTAGCCTACAGGCTGATGCACTAGGCTGTTGTGGTTCTTGTCCCAGTACACAGGGGTTCAAAAATCCCATCGCCCGATGCCCGGGACAAGTCAGTTTTCATTTCGGGCAATCAAATAATGGTATCTTACTTAACCATGGGATACTAGATAATTTCTACTTATGGTTTCAAACTGCAAATAAACTTGGATTTAATTTCATATCTGCTCAAAATGTAGCTATAAAATTTCGCAATGATAATAAAGTAGAGTTATCTTCGTTTGCTATTTATCACTTTTCAATAAATAGTCCAGTAAACATTAACATCAAATACCATGTTGATTTCTTCTTTCATAATTACATCATCATAATTATGTCATAAAATCAGGGCAAGTGGAAAATTAGTCAGGACAAGTTACTTTCTTAAAAAATTGAACCCCTGGTACATGAGACATTGTTGCAATCAGCTGCAGTATAACAGATTGATTCCCTGACTGGTAGCTAGAGCTGTGATGATATATCGTAGTATCGATGATCGTGATACTTTTTCTGACAATAAATATATCGATACTTTTTTCCGTATCCTGATATGTATCGTTGACCTTAAAATTGTGAATTTTCACCAGAAATTTACAGTTATGTCAAAATTCACAGTTATGTCAAAATTTACACTGTTTCTTGTTATCAAAATACAATTTTTTAAAGAAAATAACTAAAGATAGCATATTGTGATATGCATCGTATCGAATTGTATCGTTCCCTGATATCTCAATACGTATCGTATCATGAAATTTCTGTATCGTCACACCTCTACTGGTAGCCACTTCAGTGCTTAAACAAATCACCCAACAATAAAAGCCCACGTTCAGATGGCTTCTCATATGAATTTTTTACGTGTTCTTTTGAAATGATATTTCACAGTTTCACTATCAGACGTGTTACTTGAAAACTGTTCTCATGTTTGTAAGTTAGCTTTTACTTCAGAGCTTGATATTTTGGGCTATAAAGAGAAATTTGTCTCTGACAGAGTGTTTGCTCTCATTATAAATTACTTGCAAAATTTCATGTCTATAAATGCAAACTCTTGGCTTCCACTCCAAATACTGTACATTTTAAGAAAAATTTAAGTGGCAGATACAAGATTGAAAAGACCAGATATGTTTCTAAAAGTCAAAATGATAAATTCTATGAAAATTGGATGATGTATCATGGTCTTGCTGACCATTAAAATGTTTACAATTATCATTTCATATTAACAATTCTCAGGCAAATTTTTATATCTATAAATAAACTCAATGTCTGCCTATATTTTTGTGCAATGGGCTCCTGCCACCCTGGGCAAGAGCTCCTATGTGTAACAGGGCTTTCTGAAATAAACAAGTTAATAAATTAATTAAGAAAAATAAAATACACAAAGACCGTAGGTAATGTGCTACATGTAGATTCACAAGTTGAAACTTCCAAGTTAACGAGAAATCTGTCCTTAACTGAATCTTAACAGAAACACAGTAATAAAACATAACACTGTTCCACAATGAATAGTAATAAAACATAACACTGTTCCACAATGAATAGGGCTGGGGTAGCCTAGTGGTTAAGGCGTTCGCTCGTCACGCCGAAGACCCGGGTTCGATCCCCTACATGGGTACAATGTGTTAAGCCCATTTCTGGTGTCCCCGCCGTGATATTGCTGGAATATTGCTAAAAGCGCCGTAAAACCAAACTCACTCACTCCACAATGAACAACACTGCCACATAACACATCTTTGGTTACAGCTTTTATTGCATATGTTTCCTTTTCCAGAAATCAGAATGGACACAAGCCCTCTGAAGCCTGAGGACTCGGAAGCAGCAGCCATCTTAATGGATGTGTCCCAGCAGTGTGAGACCTCTGTCTTCAACAACCAATCACAGGCAGCAGGCATTCTTATGAATGTAACCCATCACAGCGAAATGACCATCAGTCAGGCTGGCGGGGCAGCCATGCTGCTGGACATCGACCAGCACAGTGTAGATGTTCCGTCTGATGCAGTGCTGATGGCAGTGGATGGAAGTCAGGACCCCCAACATACCTTCATCCCATCTGATGACAACTCCAACCTGAACGCCATCGCCCCATCTGACAACACAAGCTTGCACACCATCGCCCCATCTGACAACACAAGCCTGCATACCATAACACTGTCAGACAATACAAGCTTGCACACCATCGCCCCATCTGACAATACAAGCTTGCACACCATCGCCCCATCTGAAAATACCAGCCTGCACAACATTGCCCCATCTGACATCAAAACTGAGGCCAGTACAGAGACCTACGACCTTACGGAGGCTGCACCATCCAGCATGACCCGAGCGGCAAGCAGCAGTTCCAGGTGATGTCCACAGATGGTCAGTATCATACTATCACCCTTGCAGGAGTAGAGGAGAGTATGGAAGAATCAGGAAATGTCCAGATGACGGTCCAGATCGACACACCAGGAAGAGAGACGAAACTGTGACAGTGGCAGGACTCACTGATGGATATAATCTGGAGTCTCTGGCACAGATCGCAGAAATTGTTGTCAACAGTAGCGACCGCAGCGCTAATCTTGTCAGCATCCCCGAAGACACTGCAACCATCCAGAACGTCCGCCTCATCGATGAGCAGTACATTGCCATGAAGGACAATGGAGATGGCAAGCCAGTATGTGTTAAAACAGAACCTGATGGGAGAAACCATGTGACAGTTGATCAGACCCAGACTCAGACTCAGAATCTTGTGGCGGTTGATCAGACTCACGGATCTCAGAACCTTGTGTCGCTAGCGCAGATCGCAGAGCTGGTAATAAACCAAGGATGCCTGGAGACGAGTGATGGTCTGAACCCCAACATCCATCAGTTGCAGATCGGCTCAGATGCCAACAACCAGCCCTATGTCTTATCAGGCCTTGATTCCAACATCAGTAGCGTGCAGACAGTCACATCCACACCTAGAAAAATCTCTCAGATGAGAGCGCCATCCAGAAAAAACACCACAGAATATATTGCAGTTCCATTGAAGAAGCCGTTACCAGGTTCATCTACAGCTGGTGCCAGCAACTACACTACAACCATCCTCCCGGATAGTCGCAACCCTCCACAGAAGCTTCCTCCAGAGAGGAACATCTACAGCAAAATCAAGGCTGAGAATGGAGAGTGTTACATGGTGGTGCTTCCCGACTCCGACACCCTCAATCCAACTCAGCTGCGTGATCTCCTGACCAGCTACTCAGCCAGTCACACAAAGTCTGCCCTGGGAGATCGGTCGGAATCAGCTGAGGTGACCATCAAGGTGGAACCAGAGAAGCCGATGATGTATTCAGCAGGATCCCAGACATCCAACCGTAAATATTCCAAACTTTGGCCAACTGCCAACAAATCATCAAATGTGGTTGTCACAGAAGCAGCAAGGTCATCCTGTCCAGGAGAGAGTGTTGAACGTCAGGTAACTGGCGGAGATACATCCAGCAAGGAAACGTCAGGAACAGCATCAGATTTAGTGGTTGAGGTTGTGAAGCTGGGAAACAGTACTAATGATGACTTGTTTGATAACACCGTGAAGGTGAAGATCGAGAAGCCGGATGAAGCTGCAGAAGTTGCTGGGGAGGAAGACCAAGCCAGCAGTATGATCGACAGTATTGATAACTGTGGACATGAAGTGGCCGCTGGGAACAGACGGTCGTCCAGTGAACCTCGGCCCGAGACCAGGACTGTCACGGTCCAGACTGACATCACTTCTGAATGCTACATCAATGTGACCCCCGAGGAACTCAATATCAACAGAAGGAAGCCGAGGGTGCATGCTGGCAGAAAACGCTTGTATCTCGATGACCCCAGACCTTCCACAGACTCAGCACAAGTTGTGCAAACACTAGTGTCTCCATTTTTGAAAAGAAAAAAGTTGCTTGATCTGGAAAATGCGTTTTATATCTGTGGAACATGTGAGTCAAAGTTCTCAACGGCTGATGAACTCAAGACTCACAGCAAGGAGCATAAGTTAAAGAATGTGTTCTGTCCGGCATGCAAGAGGAAATGTTCCAATGTGAAGATTCTAGCAGACCATGTGATCTCTCATACTCGCTGTAAAACTTTCAAGTGTAGTGTCTGTACCACAAAGACCGTGTTCAGATCAGCGGAGGCTTTCAAGACCCATGTCAGTGAGCATCTCAGTGTGCAGCACTTCCGATGCGGATCCTGTGGACAGAAGTTCCCTCATGTTGCCAATCTCCGGGTCCATATGAGAGTACACACTGGCGAAAAACCATTCATTTGTGATAAATGTCCCATGGCATTTTCCCAAAAGGCACCGCTTGAAGCTCATGTGAGTTCATTCCATAACAAGGAAAAGCCCTTTCAGTGCGGGGAGTGCAGTATAAATTTCGCAAGGAAAACTGACCTAAAAATCCACATGCGCATCCATACTGGCGAGCGTCCTTACAAGTGTGAGCTGTGTGGCAAGACATTCACATCTAACTCTGGTCTCACAAGCCATAAGAAGACCCACTTCCGGAGTCGGTATCACAAGTGCAGCAACTGTGAGAAGAGTTTTGACACTCCGACTCGGCTCAAACGCCATGTTGCGCTCTGGCATTCCGGGGACCGGGTCCTCAAGTGCCGTATCTGCAACAAGGAGATTGGGAACAAATCCGAGCTTCGGGCACATATGCAGCTCCACTCCAGCGAACCGTTCCCATGTGTTCGATGTGGTTATGGGACGGACAAGAAGGATTTACTGGCAAACCACATTCAAGAAAATCACCCAGAACTTGTTAGTAAAATGCCCGAGTTATTTGACTCTAATGCCCAGTTAGATCAAGAAGGCAAAACCGCAGACACTAAGGTTATTGAGATCAAGTGGTAAATATTATCATGTGACATTTATTAAATTGATTTGATGAAATAGACCTGACTGACTGCACAAAAATGGCCAAGCTTCTTTGATTTCGTCATTTACAAATTTCTAGTTAGAGTTGGTTCAAATATGATGCAAAACATATTTGTTCAGTTGAGTATTTTTTTCACTTTGACATTGGCTTGGGATGGTTGGTTTAGCCTGAAAAGTGAAATAAATGGCAGTTTGATTTAACTTGGTTTACGTGCTAAGGTAAGAAGTTATGTTTTGTTACAAAATTCTGGTGATGTTTTGGCACTGACCATTCGATATTCTGGGTAAATAGGAGGGCAAATTTAAGGGTTTATCTTAAAAAACTAACTTATCTGCACAAATGCTAGAAAATAAATAATGCTCCAAAATTTTGAAAAGAAAAAATCTTGCCAGCTAGAAAAACACTGTTGCTATGGTGATGTCCTACTGTATTGAGCTCTACAGTGAAGCACCACACCACCATGGCTTCCACTGACCAATCCCCGAAAGTGCTGATTGGCAAGTATTGGAAATTTATTACAAGATTATTAGCCCCCAAGTGGTAGCTGATGCATTTTTGTAACAAATGTCCAGTGTTTGTTTAATATGTTACAGTTTCCGAATTATGAAACATTATATATTTTTAAAAGAGCGGCTGCTGTTGTGTTAATAGTAGCATGTATTCACTTCTCTCCGAGTGTTGGGCCGGTGGGGTAGCCTAGTGGTTAAAGTGTTGGCTCGTCATGCCAAAGACCCGGGTTCAAATCCCACATGGGTACAATGTGTGAAGCCCATTTCTGGTGTCCCCTTTCCACCACCTTTTGACGGGTGATGTTGCTGGAATATTGCTAAAGCCGGCGTAAAACCAAACTCAGTCAGTCAGTCTCTCCGAGTGTTTGTTTGGTATGGCAGAGGCCAGGCAGTGGCCAGTTGTAGGAAGTGGAAAGTTTCTGGGTAAAGTTTCTGGTCACATCTGTGCAAACTGGAATTTTATGTTTATTTTTTGTTATAGCCTCTGGGGCGGTGAGGTAGCCTAGTGGTTAAAGTGTTAGCTTGTCCAAGACCAGGGTTCAATTCCCCACATGGGTACAGTGTGTAAAGCCCATTTCTCGTGTCCCTCATCATGATATTGATAGCACAAAAATAGGTATTATTCTAGACCAACTCAGAGGAGAATGTCAAGTTTTAATTCGGGAGCAATATTCAACAAAATGAAGTCCCTATCACAGCATGTGAATATTGTCAAGTGTGAGAGGGACTTATGTTGCTTTAATAAGAGGATTTCAATGAGGAAGAGGTTTAATTTCACTTAATATATTATTTGATGTTAAAATGCAATAGCAGGGATTGGGAAAGGCAATAGCGTGATATAACAACTTGAATTTGTGAACCGAAGATGAGTTTTGTTTCCTTATATGCCTGCCAAAAGCACGAAGTTAAAAATCATAGATAAATCCCCAGCACCAAATGACTGTATTGGGTTTTTCCGCCAAGAGACACATGAAGATCCGGGGTAGAATAGGTCTTCAGCAACCCATGTGCTTGCCATTAAAGGCGACTATGCTTGTCGTAAAAGGCGACTAACGGGATCGGGTGGTCAGGCTCGCTGACTTGGTTGACACATGTCATCGGTTCCCAATTGCGCAGATCGATGCTCATGCTGTTGATCACTGGATTGTGTGGTCCAGACTCGATTATTTACAGACCACCGCCATATAACTGGAATATTGCTGAGTGCGGCGTAAAACTCAACTCACTCACTCACTGATGTGTCTGTGTAAGTTCTGGACTATTGCTTACCTTAGTCCCTTTTTGAAACACCATTGCGACAGACCAATTTTATTTCTTGTTTTACAGATTTTTGTCCTCAGAAAACCTAAAGTAATATACCTTCTAAAAACTCAAAGTATTTTACTTTTGGCCATTTATGAAGTGTATATGGGGAAAAAAACAATCTAAAAAAATGTTCTTGTAAGTTTACATTTTTGACCCATAAAAACATTATGATTGTATCTTTTGAGCGGGGAAAACTAATGTTTATTTCTATTTCGTTTTCTTGAAAAAAGACCGGCGGATCCATAAAACAAGAAATAAAATTGGTCTGGCCTTGTTTGATTGTATTAAAACACTGTTACTATTTCCTGTTTTAACTGTCTGTTGTTATGGGATCAGATAGTTACAAGGTGTGAGTTGATTTGGATTAGGGACCGTTGTAATTGATGGCTTTGGTGTGTGTGCGTGCGTGTGTGCATGTGAGAGAGAGAGAGGGTGATGATTTTAAGAAGGGGGGTCATCATTTCAGGGGGGTGTCAGCAATGTACATAAAAATAATAAAATATTACGCTTAAAAAGTATGGAAGGAAGGGGGATGGTCACTGATTTTGTACATGACATGCAGGGCGTGGTCACTTACTTTGTACATAAACTTGTGTGGGGTGGGTGGGGGGCGCCATTGACATCATACATGCTTCTCCATAAAAATCATCATTACCCCCCTAGGCATAAATTATGAACGGTCCCTCAGATGGTTACATGGTGTTGGTTGGTTGCTTGGTTTGTTGTGGAACCCCGCACTCAGCAATATTCCAGCTATCTGGCAGCAGTCACAATGTGTGACTGGAGATATACATGTGGGTATAAGGACTACTTGTGACAGATACTCGTGAAGGTCCAGGTTAGAACATTGATCTTGAGTAACCCAAGTTTTGTCGTAAGAGGGTGGTCAGGCCACACGTCATCGGTTCCCAATGCGCATAGCGCAGATCAGTGCTCATGCTGTTGATCACTGGGTTGTCTGGTTCAGACTTGATTATTTACAGACCGCCGCCATATAGCTGGAATATTGCTGAATGCGGCATAAAACTAACTCACTCACTGACTTGTGACAGAAACGCTCTTCAGTATTGGCTACAGTAGAAGCACCTGGGTCTGCAGCTACCCCAGACCAACGCTCCATCCACTGAGGTGGCAGGTTCAACCACAGACACGTGCCAGAATATATACACAGGTTTATTATACACAACATTGACTGTGGCAACACTGAAGCTAAGGCAGCCTTAGCCTCAATTATCTCATCTGTCTCTCAATGTTGCCCACACTTAGGTTGACTAAATATTTTATGTGATATTATCTGCTATCATCTTTTTATTTGTTGGCTCACATACTGTTTTTGGTCAAAGTCAAAAGTTGTTGAAAGAAAAAATATAAAAGCCTAATGTCAAACAGTAATGTCAACTTCAGCATCATCAATTTTATAGTTGATTTTTTCATCTGTGCAAAGAGAACTTTGCAACTTGTAAGAAAATAGGTTTAGGAAATCCATGATCCAACAAATATAAAGGCCTTATCTGTGGAAGGAGAGAAACATACGTATGTACATGTACTCGCTTATGAAGAGCTACTTCATACAAGCAATAAGATGGCCTTTTGTGGGTAAATAATAGCTAATCTCCTTTTTTTGGACTGTATTCAATACCCTGCAAACACTGCATGCCAAAGAAATAGATCAAATCCTTTATGAATTATACTCGCTCAATGGAGGAGTTTTCATTGAACAGCTGACTAAAGGCATGATATAGACTACTTTAAACATATGGTCAAATCATCATCATCATCATCATCAAGGACAACAGGCAGACTAAAGCAGAATCAAGCTAGGAACCATCGAGTGGATCTGTCCTGCAAGTGCACATCAACGTCATCAACTCCATTTGAATACTTCTCATTCTGCAACACCATGAGTGAGTGAAGGTGTTGGGTTTATACTGCACTGAAGGCTATTCCAGTTTTCCACTGATGTGTCAGCTCAATGTAGAGCAAAGACTCACACTGTGCGGGGTCTGGACATTTGCCAGGTAGAAAAGGTAGCTCGGTGAATACAGTCCTCATCGTAAATATGTTCCCCTGTAGCAACACAACAGGATCTACTTCACATTAAATGTGAGTCATATTTGTTAAAAAATATGAAAATAATACTGGCAAAAATATCAACAAAATTGCAACCTCGATAAGCTTAAAGCTTAAACAAAAAATAAACACCATTTGAAGAAATGCAAACATAAACATTGAAACAAAATATCTAACATCAAGATTATTAACAGATATTTGATCATATGGAACCCTTCCATGAAGCAGGCATAGCAGTGTCTCCAGATCAAGTCTAACCCTAACATTAACCTAATCCCAATATTACCGGTAACTTAAACCCTAACATTAACCTAATCCCAATATTACCGGTAACCTAAACCCTAACATTAACCTAATCCCAATATTACCGGTAACCTAAACCCTAACATAACCTAACCCTGACTTCCTGCTAGAGTTGATAAACAGTAGGGTAAATATTTACCTCACAAATGATGTCTACGGAAATTTCATTTTTGTAAATGTTTTTGTTGCCAATTTGTACAAAAAGAAAACAGATGGAACAGATTACTTAGTTGTATCCTCCCCAGGGAGTTGAGATTGATAATAACATGTGCCGTTGAGATTGTCATCCAATGATCGAGGGGAAACAAATACCAGCGCCTTGAGAGAGCACTAGTTGCGTGGATATGTGCGCTATATAAATATCCTATAATAATACTTGTAATTTTTTTCAAACAAGACTGTAAGAGTTGTATATCAGTTATTTCCATCTTTTCGTGTGATAATAATGTGTTCGACAGTTGTACTGACATATGCCCCACAAACAAATAAACCTTAAGTAGGAAATGGAAGAAGACTAGTTCGTCAGGGTAGCGGGAAACATTTGGCAGGAGAACACCATGGAACAGGTTACTTCGGCCTTCTGTAGCTGCCATATTGTTTCTTAAAGGGGCATAACTCTGCTTTTACTTGAAGCCTGCCCCATGCAAGAGGTTCCAGATTGTTTGAACATAATTAGGCATGATCACTGCTTGATAACACAGCAAATATAGATGTTGAGCTGAGATGATAAGTGAGAAATTATTAAATACACAATGCCATTTTAGAAAGTGAGCAAATGTAAGATGTTATATATGAGATTACACTTTCTTAGTAAAGTACAGATTCTAGTACTTTTGGGGATTCGAACCCACACCCTCAGAGTCAGCCAGCACACAGAGTCAGATGCCTAGACCGCTCAGCCACCGCGGCTTCCACAAAAATGGAAGTCGGACAACTGGTAGTCTAGACTCCGGGCTTTGTGTACCCCTCTGATAAGTGTTAATTGGCATGGTTCCCACGGCCGAAAGCTATGA